TTTTTTACTTTATAGGAGAAACAAAGTAATGCCTTTTTGTAAATTGTAAACAAAGTAAAGAAAATTAGGTTGTGTGTATTGTTGTAAGTTTATTTCATCTGTGTTTATCAGGCCACTAATCTCTAATATTCTTTTAACTAATTTTATCAGTTTCATTTTCTTTCAGCAATAATATTGTGATGACATTTGTATCTGAAATTGATGGTCTACTTAGCTTTTTGCTATTTCAAGTAGCCTACTAGGTATTTTTCAAAAGATCTTTTTTGATTGGCCACAATTTGATACAAATGTTAATCCCAATATGGTCTTTGTGCAGTTTCTACGGGTACCAGACTACCAGTATGTTGATGCAATGGATGAGAAATGGTGGAGCAAAGACCGCTTTGACTATTTTGTGGCAGGTTAGTTATACTTCATGCCCAATTTCGTCATTGTGGTTTATGCTTTTTTTACATCGTTGTCAGCAGTTAATGAATATAAATTGTGTTTTGGGAAGGTTCTGATTATCCTTTTTCAATATTATGGTTTATGTTTTTGGATGACCTTCACCAGTTCTTATAAGCTGCATTCATTTCAAAAGGCATGGTCCAACTGGTTAAAAGCTTTTAGATTGCAAGCAGAGTCCTATCCTATGCAGGTTGGATACATTCACGACCAATTTGACTGTTTTGTGGTATATTTTTGTAATAATCTTATGCCCAATTTAGTCAAAGTGGTTACTCTATTATTTCTACTAGTTATTCAAAAGCTATAGACAGAGAGCAGTGGTAATAAGTTTTTTTGGCAACAGGATTGAAATATTCATCTATTTAGCAGTATCATTCACAAATTTCGAGTGTTTAGAGGTGGGGAGTTGTTGCTATTGTGAAGTTGTAAATTGATAAAATCTAAATGAAAACACTATAATATAGATCAGTGGCAGTAGCCTACACCGATTTTAGTTTATTGTCATTGCTATAAGCGACTCTGATTACCGATTTAATCGGTCCAGGTGGACTATCGCCATATATAGATAATATGTCTGTTTGGTAAAAGGCAAAAATTGATTGGTGGGAGGTGGTTCCAGGGAGCGTGAAATTACTGCCATGTGCGCATACCATGATAGTTAGTTTGCTTAGATGGAAATAAGCAAAATTAGATGATCTAATTGCGCCAAGTGGGAATTTAATGCATGCAGTTTTCATTAGTCTTGTGGAAGCTGAAAATTAAAGTTTAACAGCAAAGTAAAAGGCTTAGTCGTCATAGGAACATTTTGAAATTCATATCATACTATCTCACACTAGTCCTCATTCGAAATATCAAATCACCAAGTTGCTGTCTCCCTTACTTTTTGTACTCCTCGCAAATTGCCCGTAAACTCTGAGTAGGCCTAATATACTTATATAGGCTATATATTTCGATTAGTTTATGTCTATAATGGGTCTCCGTACAAAAACTAAGGGAGACAGCAATTTGGTGATTTGATATTTCGAATAATGACAAGTGTGAGATAGCATGGTATGAATTTCAAAAAGTTCCTATGACGGCTAAACCTTTTAATTTGCTGTTTAACATTGGTAATTTTCAGCTTCCATAAAAAAAATATGGGCCACAGTACAAAGAGTAAGAGAGTTAGACATATAGGTGTTTGCGAAATTGAAATAATTCCTATGTGTATTCGTCATAAAAAATTTTTAAGTTATTTTAACAATATTTAAGTTAAAAATAATTCAGATTTCATATCGGGTCGATTTGCCGCGAATGTGTATGCTGAGACGATTCGACCCGAATCTGTATGCTAGTTGAATGTGTACTCTAAGTTCAGCCCGGTATGTAGTTCATAATAAATAACTGCTGGGTAATAACAGCATACTTAATTACAATATTTACATAGTTAAAAGGACAAGTTCGCCATCCGTTTGTACCTTGGTCTTAGAAACAGATTTTTTTTTAGCTCTGCTCGCAGTGCACAGAACAAATTTGAGCCTTCAAATCCATGTGTTTCCAGTACCGGTCAGAATTATTTGCGTTTGAAAGTTAAAATGTCTTTTCTTGAGACAATATAAAAAAGAAAACTCACATAAATATAGAAAGTCAAAGGGAAATTGCTAGTTTGAGGTATTTTGAAGGAGTCATGCGATTTTCGTACATTTCTAGTACCGGTACTTCTGGAAACTATTTACATAATATTCAAGACCCAAATAAAATAAATAACTGTTTGGCAAAGTTAATAACCAGTAGAAAATATGGACTAGCTAACAACTGCTGGGCTTGATAAATAACCATTAACTAGTGGACAATCAGAAAATATTTGATAACCACTAGGAAATTTACAATTTTAAATAACCAGTGGCGATTTGAGATTAATTTAATAATCACTGGGAAAACTGAAAATATTAAATAACCACTGCCGGCACTGGTCAGAATATAAATACAGTTCATAACCATTACACAATATTCACAACCAATAACGACTTGATAGACTGTAATAATGCGGAAAGATGACTTATTCAAAGTTAGTAGACTTTCAGACGCAGATCAGGATAAGAACCCATGATCACCATTTTGAAAGTTGAAGGGGAGAGGCTAAATTGGGTAATATGATGTGCTGAATTACATATAAGTCACTCAGGAAATGTCCCCTCAAAGTTCTGAAATTACATTAAGTTAGGCAATGGAACCTATATCAATGATCAACTTGATAGACTGTAATAATGCGGAAAGATGACTTATTCAAAGTTAGTAGACTTTCAGACGCAGATCAGGATAAGAACCCGTGATCACCATTTGTTCGATCTGACTTAGCAGATGACATCACAATCCAATGCTCTAATCAACTGTTCTGCAGCCACTTTGCAATTTCAGCAATATTGAATGTTATTGGATGGTAAACATAGTGGTGTGTACCAATTAACTTTGGCCTGTTAAACTCTTGTCAGAAGTGGATGATGTAATATGTTGAAACATGATGTAAAAAATTGGATTGTTGAGTGATTGCCAAATAGGTTAGTTACAACAATGGATGTCCAATATTTGGGTAAGTAAATTATGTGTGTCTCTATATATTAGTTTGTTGAGTTTGTTCTGCAATGTAAGATTCATCTGATATCAATCTTTAAAGATACATGTTATTTGGAATTAAATGTGGTAAAGGGTTTAATGATCAGCTGTTTGCATTTGAAAAGGTCTGGGTCTAGTAGGCCCTATGTCACATCAACAATATTATGTCAAATAGTTTAGAGATAAACAGTGGTGTTTGAATCATCATGTGATGTAGCTGAATTGTCCTGGGGGATTCACAGGCAATGTATAATGATAATGAATTTTGAAAGTTGAAGGGGAGAGGCTAAATTGGGTAATATGATGTGCTGAATTACATATAAGTCACTCAGGAAATGTCCCCTCAAAGTTCTGAAATTACATTAAGTTAGGCAATGGAACCTATATCAATGGGTCAAGGTCACCTAGAAATTCATCATTGTCATTATTGTTATGGTTGTTAGTCTTTAGAACATTGACTCCTGTAGAAAAAACCTGAAACCCTGTAAATAAAAATATCCTAATTCAGGAAAAGTACAATGTCCTTTGATGAAAAGCATCAAATTTCACACCTTTTTTGCTTAAAAAAATTAATATTATTATAGGAAAAGTTTTGACTGTATAAATATTACCAAGAAAACAAATATCAACCAGAGCTGTGAACAGCCTAGCACAGACCTTGTCCCCTTGTTTTTGGTTCTATTGAAACTTCTAGCTTTCAACCTCAATGCTTTTAAGCCTATAATTAGTGAACAAGAAATTTAAACTCTAGGGTATCTGGTAAATAAATCAAGTACATATATGTATATAATTACATACATTCCAGATATTTCACCTCAAATTTTTGCTTTACTATCGGTTTAAAATTGATTTCAACTTCCGGTTGAATTAACTCGGTGTGATTAATAAATGTCAACAACATTTTGACGATCTGAAGCCAAAGTTATTCTACAGCTGATTTGAAAATCCATTCCGGAAATAATACTTTGGCCTCCATTTTGATTTTCCTGAAATTAGTCGATTCAGACATTAGGCCTATGGTTTATACGATTTAGATGATTTTGATTCTTTTTGCAATTTCCGGTTGAATTTTTTTGGAAGTTTTAAGGCTCATGACCTTTGATAACCTTGACGTTTATTGGTTCAAAGGTAATTGACCTTGGCTTTCAGTTGATGCTGTCATATTTGACCTTTGACATCTATAGCTGTCCAATAACAGCCAAATTTACAACTTTGTACTATCATGCATGAGATCTAATTAACTTTCTGGAATTCTGAATGTGTTTTCCATGCTCTCTATAACAAAATAAAAGTTTCTTAAGTTTGAGTGTTTTTACAATATTTTTTTTTGATGGATGTAGGCCCTATGTATATCTCATTTCTCAATATGATGTTGAGGTTGGCATGGCACATCCAGGCTGAATTAATTATTTTTATTTTTGGGCAGGGGCACAACTAACATACATTTCTTAAATAAAAAAGAACTTTGCATACCTCAATACCTCGTTGACCTTCACTTTTATAAGATCAAAGGTCATTGACGTTGGTTACCCATTGATTTTTAATATTTGATACTTTCATTTTTGATGTCTTACTTCTACTTCCGGTTTCACAACCTTCCAAAGACAGAGTAATCTGTGGCACTTTCACAGTGGAATGCCAAGGGAGCCGCATTGCCTCAGTGATGCACCTGACATGGAAAAAACGTCAAGTCGCTCGGATGGGACGCCAGGCCATGTGTGCTACAGGCTGTAGAATTTAATTTCCTTTACAGTGGAGTGCTGAGTGGAATCGGGAATGATATTTGTCAAACAATAAAATAGATGAATAGATAAGCTAATGTAAAGAATGAATGAAAATTTATTTATTGATTTGCAGATATCTACAAGTCATTTCACATGAAAAAGTGTGATTGCAATCAGCTGTATAGTTTATATGATACTAGATGTAGAATGTGCCAATAAATGTCTCTTACTGTGCTAATGTGTTACTGGATTATTGAAAGGTAAGAGCAATTTTTGAGCGGTTAAGTTATTCAATTTTTAGTAAAGGTATTGTGAGTTTTCATATATTCCTAATACGCTATTTTTGTTAAGTTTGCAGCCTTATTTCAAAATGATCTAGATGATTTGTGTTTTTAGTGCAAGTTCCTAAAGTATGTCCAGGCAATAAAACACAGTGACATGGGGTTTCAGATCTTGTGACTCATTTGTGTTTCATCTGCTTTCCTTATACTCCTGAAATAGAAATATAGGAGGAATAGTATTATTTTATTTCTTTTCATTTTAATCCAACCTCCAGTTTAGCTAATTTGTATTTTTATACACACACATGGAAATGTGGACATATATTGCCATCGCCTCTGTCCGTCAGTCCGTCCTTCGCGCTACAGTTTTTATCCTATCTTCATGAAACTTGGTGATGATATCTCAGTCAAGTTCTTAATTAGTAACAATCAGATGAACAGGTTCAGAGTTATTCCCTTTGACTTAGTAAAAACTTGTCAAATTCGACCTGCAGGCACAATAGAGACTACAGTTTTTATCCAATCTTGATGAAACTAGATATGCATGTATATATTGATGAGATCTGCGGTCAAGTTAGAAATTGGTAATAATTGGATGAACTGTTTCAGGTTTTTGCTTTGACTTATAGATGATTTTAAGATTATTTGAAAATTATTTATTATGCCACTTAAGATTTTGTTATCACTTCTGACAGCTGGTGGTGGGCGTATGTTACCTTGCCTGGCAAGCTATCTTTATAATATTTGTAATAAAATTATTACATTTCAATAAATATTGTTTAATGTTTATCTCCTTTCACTATGTGTTGGTTTTCCTTGGTGATATACTACCTTGTTTTTTAACATTGGTTGCTATGGTGACAAACAGCTACCTTAATTTTCCTAGATTATATATCCATTCAGAAATCTCCTAATCCTTTTAATCACCACCTTTTTATTTATTAGGTACAATTAGAAACAATTAGGCTAGTTACCGACAATATTTATCTCCTTAATAATTGGATTAATCTCTGTTAATCACTGATACATAGGATTAATAGATTAAAGAATTTAAAATTGTTTGGGTAGACATTATACCAAATATTTAAATATGGAAATAAAATGTTACTGATCAATTTTAAACCGACTGTAGACTGACCACATCCTAAGAGCACTTTAATTTTCCAGGTATTGTATTATGAAGGAATAATTTTTGCTTTTACATCTTAAAGATTTATGTTTAAACTAAAGTTGACAGTTTTCAGTATGACAATCTGAATTAGAACTAGATATAGAAAAAGTTGTCCAGTTAACATGAAAACCAGACAAGATTTTGATGTCACTATTGCTAAAATCATTCAAGCTTACTTGGCATTTTGAATTTATTAATTTTGAAAGTCTTTCTGGAATGACAGGAACCACAGACATCAGAATGAGGCTGTAAGATTTCATCTCATTTTACCAGTCCTATTTTACTATTACTTATCCTTTTTACATATTGTTAAGCCTTAAAATCTTTTAGCTTTTGTCTAATTTTGAACAGTATTCACAATGTCAAGTCTTCGTACTAATACCTTGAATCTGATACCTACCTTTGTTGTTTTACAGATTACAGATTTTCTAAATCTTCCTTGACAGAATGATTAAATTCTGGCTTTTGGCTTTCCAGACTTTCTGTTGAGGGCTTTGATTGGTTGTATTCGCGAACATACAATCTAACCAGATTGCTGCATTTACAAACTTCTATGAGTAACTAGAAAGGTGGTTGTTGCAGCCAAGTTATTAGAGGCAGTTTGTAATTGCTTGACATTATGAAAACTGTATCAGGCATATACAAATTTTTCTGCACCATTGTGATTCTTGCTAAAAAATATATTTTTTGATTGTAGAAAGATGTCACTTCAAGTATTGTCAAAACTTATTCAGAAGTCTAATATTTCACAATGTAGATGGCAGCATTATTCTCGGACATGTATTTCCATTATCACTGAGAGTAATGGTCCTTCAAGATATCATCAAAGGACAGGTACTTTCTGTTCAACACAGCATGGTGCTTCAAGGTAAAAAAGAATTCATTTATTTAATTAATGTTTCTTTTACTTAAACTGTCAGTACCACATACTGCTTATTGTCAGTCCTCATTAGTGGATGAAAGTCTAGACCAGTAGGGAATGCAGCATCTCCATTCTTACTCATTAACCACAATAATCATTGACCTCTGTAGTTTGCCGATGACTCATGACTGGAAAGAGCCAATATTTAATTTGTCACAAACCCTTGTTCAAATTCAGAAAAATCTTAATCATAATTAGCTAAATTAGAAGAGAAATACCAGCAGAATTCAAATGAGTGACCGATCAAGAATGGTCAAAAAGTCTTTTTTTGTTTATCCAGACTATATACATACATATGATTGGTTAAAACTCTTAATTATATGCAATAATGATATGATTAAGAATACACGATATTTCATTAGAAACACCGATTAATCAAATAGTTTGCTTAATTTGACACTAAAAATAAGGAAACCCAATATTTTATGCATGCTATGGCCCTATGAAATTTAGAATCTGCTAGGTAATGTGTGGTAGATAAATGATGCTATCCTAGCAAATTTTCCTCATTGCACACTATATTTTTATTAGTTTTTTAAGGAGCAGAATGATTGGATTTAAAGCTGTGTTTTGTTTTCTTTAAAAAAGGAAATTTATATTTTCAGATCAATTCATATTGGAGGAAATTTAGATCCAGTGCCAACGCCTGTCATTACTTCATGGAAATCTTTTAGTAGTTTCTCTGAGAAATCTTTTTTGATGACAGATGAAACAGTTTCTGATTTACGACGCTTTCTCAATGAGGTAATGAGTGATTTAAAATTTAAATAAAAAACCTCAGTTAAGACTTAGCTCAGTTTAGTCATAGCTCAGTTTAGTCATAGCACAGTTTAGCCTTAGCTCAGTTTAGTCATAGCTCAGTTTAGTCTTAGCTCAGTTTAGTCATAGCTCAGTTTAGTCTTAGCTTAGTTAGTCTTAGCTCAGTTTAGTCATAGCACAGTTTAGACTTAGCTCAGTTTAGTCATAGCACAGTTTAGCCTTAGCTTAGTGAGTCTTAGCTCAGTTTAGTACTTTTAGCTCAGTTTAGTACTCTTAGCTCAGTTAGTCTTAGCTCAGTTTAGTACTCTTAGCTCAGTTTAATCTTAGCTCAGTTTAGACTTAGCTCAGTTTAGTCTTAGCTCAGTTTAGTCTCAGCTCAGTTTAGACTGTACCCACTTTACCTAAGTTTTTATCAAATCTAGTGTGACCACATGAATATTTGTTACTTTTTAAAAATGTTGTAGATCCTTTGCTACAGTCTTAGATTACATTAACACAAATGCTCATAAAGTCATGTATATGTATTGAAACATAGTGAAAATTTATGAAAGTTTTGCCTTTCTCTGAATTAGAGTTGACATATCTTGCTGCCAACACTTTGGTCATACTTCAGAAGCTGAATGATCTTCACTCTAGCCTAAACATATCATGACAGGTCAAAAGTTATAAATGTGTGTCAATGTTTATTCTCTATCACCAGGTTGGCACAGATCCAAAAGAAGCCAGATTTTGGTTAAAACATTTTGCTACTGTAGAAGAACAACAAGCTTTTGCTGTGTTTCAAATTGATCCAGAATTATTCTGTCACCCTCAACAAGTAAGTCATAAGAACTTTGGGTAGTGTAGAAATAATGAGGCCATAGTTGTTTGAGGTGATTTCTGGCTAATTGTCTAGCCTATTGTGATGCAGCCGTGCAGTTCTTCATTTAGTTTTGTCCGTTATGTATTTTAGAGAGTTGGTAAGGTTAAAACATCAAGTTGTTTGGATAAGACAAACAAAGCACAGCTGGCATCAGTTAAGGTTTTGATAATTTACAATATTTAACATGGCTCCATTTTTATTAGCCCACTAAGAAGTAAAAAAAAGAGGATTGAAGAAACGGCTATCTATCTTAAGATAATATTGCAATTCTTTGATTTGTATTTCAGCTTGAAATCCTATCATCCAGTCTCTCGTTTCTACATCGTAATAAAATGAAACCTGTGATAGTGTGTGGTCCTAGAATAAAACATGGTACAACTCTATCACAAGATGACTTCCAGGTAAACCAAGATGTTTGCTTTAAATGATATAGTTTTTAAACTTGAAAATGAAGCTCGATTTGACAGTCACAACTGAAGAGTGTTAGCACGATCTTGAATGACAATGACATAATTGGTAATAACAGAACAGTATTAAAATAACATGCCATCTACTTAGGAAATTTCGAAAAATATTTCTTGGTTCCTTGTTTTTTTAAATTGATATTCACCATTTAGTAAGACTCTTATTTTTTTTCTCTTTTTGTCATTTTCAGAAATTGAAAACTAAAACAGCATTAGATATGACAGTATTCACTAGTTTATTAGAATCTCATGGTGTTCAAGCTAGACCATTATTTGTGGGTAGTGGTGTTATAAAAGCAAAAGCCTTGGAAGGGTAGGTATACGGACTTAAGTTAGCCATGACACCTTGGCCTTGTACAGAATTGATGTGTAATATAGCCAGTGGCGGAACCCAAGGTGGGGCAGAGGGGGCAGCCACCCCCCCCCTCGCAGCCCCGAAAGCAAGTTTTTCGGGCAAAAATCTCACAACTATATTAGAAATTTGAGCAATCTCAGATATTTCACCCCCCCTCGGACTTAAACCTGGCTCTGCCACTGAATATAGCCTCTTCAAGAATTACATAGCTTACCATAGGCTGCTGGTTTAGATTATAATTGTGATTCCACTTGTTTGAGATAACTTGACAGTGTTTACTTGAATTTAACACCACATAACTACATTTGAAATATTTCTGAAGTGGTAACACAATGCTTAAGAGCAAGAATGGGCTTTGGGATATTTAAAAATGCATATAATATGATGACTCAAGATTTTGAATCCCTGTGAATAGACTGTAACAACAGTATCTAGGATAACAAATAATTTCGTCATTTGAAATGAAATAGAGTTTTACATATTATTACAGCACCAAATATTCTGGTGAAATCATGGATATAGATAGTGATATTGTTCAATGGTGTTTATTAACTCAACATATACCAGTCATCTCTTCCCTGGGTGAAACAACAGACGGACAAATTCTCTCCCTTGATTTATGGTCTGTTACTAGGCAACTGTCTCAAATTCTAAAACCCCTTAAAGTCATGAAGATAAACTTAAATGGCGGCTTTGTTAACAATATTGATCAGGTAAGATTGGATTTTGGATATTGAATTTAATAAAAATTTGGTCAGTAAATAATACAGATCCAGCTTTCTTGCAGAAAGTTCTTTTAATTCTTGGATCCATTGCTTGATAGAAGATTTTTCACATGCTTTTAGATAGCAAATTAGCATTTGGTAAAATGTTTCTCATTGCATCTTCAATGATATGGTTCATTTTCTTTACCCCATCTGCTTAATAAGACTTGTATCTTCATAAGTTTTAGGCCTTTTATGAGTTCTTTATCTTTTTTAATTTACAGGTTGTGGCCAATGTTAATTTACCAGTAGATCTGGAGTCTAATGATAAAAAGTCGTGGTTAAATAAAGACATTTTACACAAGGTTTGTTTTGTATTTCTTAAAAGGTATGCATTTACTGTGTATTACAAAGGTTATGCTTAGAAAATATGAAGTCCTTTCACATTGGAATGTAAATGTCTGCAAGGAAGTGCTACAATCCAAACTTCCATGGTATTGATTTGTTGAATTGTAGAGATATCAGACGTTTGATTTTATTTTATGAGCTAAGGAACAGTTACATCCCTTTAAAGATGTTCAAATATATTTTATTGTTCCTCATTGGACAGATTTTTATACGCCCACGTAAGATGGGCGTATATTGTAATCACCCCGTCGGTCCGTCAGTCCGTTCACATTTGGCTCGTGCTCACTCTACAGGCTACAATTCTTTACAGATTCTTGTGATTTTTATTTTGTGTGTCAATGTCATTATGAAGATGATCCCTATTGATTTTCGTGATGATCGGATAATTTTTCACCGAAATATCGTGTCTGACTTGACATTTTTCTCTATTAGCTATATTGTGCAACTCGTGCTCACTCTACAGGCTACAATTTTTTACAGATTCTTTTGATTTTTATTTTGTGTGTCAATGTCATTATGAAGATGATCCCTATTGATTTTCGTGATGATAGGATAATTTTTCACCGAAATATCGTGTCTGACTTGACGCTTTTCTCTATTAGCTATATTGAGCAACTCGTGCTCACTCTACAGGCTACAATTCTTTACAGATTCTTTTGATTTTTATTTTGTGTGTCAATGTCATTATGAAGATGATCCCTATTGATTTTCGTGATGATCGGATAATTTTTCACCGAAATATCGTGTCTGATTTGACGTTTTACTCTATTAGCTATATTGTGCAACTCGTGCTCACTCTACAGGCTACAATTCTTTACAGATTCTTTTGATTTTTATTTTGTATGTCTATGTCGTTATGAAAATGATCCCTATTGATTTTCATGATGATCTATCGATTTTCATTATGATCGGATAATTTTTCACCGAAATATCGTGTCTGACCTGACGTTTTTCTCTATTAGCTATATTGTGCAACCCTGTAGTCACTAAAGACTGTTTAATCATTTCTGACAGCTGCCAGTGGGCGTATGTTACCTTGCCTGGCAAGCTATCTTTATCTTTTGTTAAATGGTTGCATTTCAGACTCAAGATATATATGAATTATTATGTAAATTGCCCAGTGAATCTTCAGTTGTTATAACATCTGTTAATAATCTTCTTAAAGAACTTTTCACTCATAGAGGTAAGATTGGTTTATTGCAGAGCCTGTAACCAAGATGACATCCCTGTGGCCAGATTTCAGTTTTTCCTTTAAAATGGTCACTTTGATGGTCCCTTTTTGAGATTTTTAAAAACTGGCTCATGAAGTAGAGTAAACATTGAGATTTTTTGGCATCCCTCCTTTCACTGTAAACAGTTCTGCATTTTTCCTTTTTCAGGCTCGGGAACATTCTTTAAAATAACGGAACCTATTCAGAGATATAGAACATTAGATGGTATGGATATGGATAGATTTACTGCACTCTTCAATAAGTAAGCAAATTTCTCAATTTTTGTCTATATTGAAAAAGCTCTCACATAGAATTGTAGGAGTACAGGATAATTGACACCTTTCAACTTTATGTTTCAAAAAGTAGAATTTTCATTTTCAATAAAAAAAAAATTTAATCTTGATTTTATTTTGATTCTATTTTTAAAGGTCGTTTAAGAAAAATCTAAAACCTGAATATTTTGAAGAAATTGAAGATAAGATTGACAGAATTTATTTGTCCAAAAGGTAAGATCATTTATCCATATACCAGTTTATACAATTTACTAGTGCCTTCAACTTCACAGAAATTTTGATATCACTAAATGGGGTTCAGCTCAACCTTGTGACAGGCAGAATCTGCTTATCATTTCTTACTATATTTTCAATAATTGCTAGCAGCTGGTAGTATCTAGTGGTTTTGATCAATTACTGAATTAAGTCAACTTGAATATCCATCTACTGAAATTTTTCAGTTGCTACCAGTTGCTCATGTTCTGCCTTTAAAAATTTTATCTAAAGTTGGCCTGAGTGGTCATAATCTGCAACCATCCAGTTATTACAGTTTTCTCAATATGGGAATTTTCTCTAACTTGTTGCTTTGTGATGATTTATTAATTTTCACTTTTAAACATTTCAGTTACAATGCTGGAGCAGTCATATTGAGAGATGAAGAAACAAACATCCCTTATTTATGTAAATTAGGTGTGTCTGCTAAAGCTCAAGGGGAGGGAACTAGTGAATTATTATGGGATACCATAAGACAAGATTATCAACAGTTATTTTGGAGATCTCGCATTGATAACTTCATCAACTCATGGTAAGCATTGCAAAATGACATTCAGGTTATAAATTCTGCATTAGCCATCAATATCAACATTCAATCTTTGACCATGTTTTGGTTTACCAACTGGTTACCATCTGAGCTACCTCGCATTTTATAAACATAAAATATATTTCATTCTTGAAGGGCTTTAATTTGCTTTGAATGAATTTAAAGGTAATTTAAATTTTTCAGGTATTTTAAGAAATGTGAAGGAAGTTGGACCAATAGTAAATGGACAGTTTTCTGGTAAGTAACTACCCAAATTGAATTAAGAAATTTGGAGGGAATTGATTAGATATTGTTCATAAAGCTTTTTTATACGCCCACATGAAATGGGGGGGCGTATATTGTCGTCACCCATGTCCGTCGGTCCGTCCGTCCACAATTGCTCGTAAACACTCTACAGGGCACAATTCTTGACGGATTTTAACGAAACTTAGTATGTGTGTTCGCAATCACCCAAGGATAAACCCTATTGAAAATCAGCGAAATCGAAAAATATTTAGTATGAATTATTGCCCTTGTTCTTGCAAACGCGTTCAATTTTTAGCTCGTAAACACTCTAGAAGGCACAATTCTTGACAGATTTTGACGAAACTTGGTATGAGTGTTCGTATTCACCCAAGGATAAACCCTATAGAAAAATCAGGGAAATCGAAAAATATGTAGTATGAATTATTGCCCTTGTTCTTGAAAACGCGTTCAATTTTTAGCTCGTAAACACTCTAGGAGGCACAATTCTTGACAGACTCTACAAGTCACAATTTTTTTGTTCATAATCACAATTTACAATAGATGTCATTATTTTCCTGAGAAACTATTTTGGTTAACAAATAAGAAAATTTAATTTAATCATTTAACATGTCCCCCAACCAGCCACCATACATGTACAGCATCATAAGATACTATAAATAGACCAAGTGGAAAATCCAAGACAGATATCCAATCATAGCTTATCTGATTTCATTTTATAAATGTCATTCAAGAGAAAAGGTTTGCTTAATCATTTCATTTTCACCAATTGTGCTGATACAAAAATGAAATTAAACATGGGTCATAGGGGAAAGGTTTGGTTTCTTGGAAGATTGAATTGAGTTGCTGGATAAGTAGGCTACTATAGGAATAGGCTACTATAGGCCTATAAATGAGTTTGTATGTCAGACTGCAATATTGTGGTGGCTGTGTTTTGACAACTTGCCCACTACTTTTAAATAGTCTTTTACAACTTGCCCACTACCTTTATATAGTCTTTTACAACTTGCCCACCACTTTTAAATAGGCCTAATGAGTTTATGTCAGACTGCATTTATTGTGGTGACTTTTCTTGTCCTTATTAACCAAGACAGCTGCAATCAAGTATACTTACAAATCCATTGCATTTCATGCAAACTAATCAAATCTTCGAGAAAAAAAATGTTAGGATATAAAAAGATTAAATTCAACAGGAGAAAAAAGGTGGTAAATATTAGCAACTCTCACCTGTCATAAACTCGATACATAAAACTTTTAAAAAAATATTTCAACCTAATTTGCTTGAATATAATCTGCAAATACACAATTCATGACAGACTTATTGAAATCACCCAAGGATAAATCTGATCAAAAATCTTGTAAAACACGTAATTTTTATTCTACCAAGCAGAAGTCTAAAACAAATTTGACAACTTGATGAAATTGATCACAATCAAAACTAAACCTTTTGAAATATAAAATACAAGTTATTGCCGTTATTCTTACAAATGTGTTTGATTTTTAACTTGTGATGGCACAGTTTGTGATGGATTTGGGTATAAGTTGAATATTTCCTGGTGTCTATGTTTGCTATTTTCTAACAAATATTCAATTTCAAACAAAGCTATCAGTGGGCGTATATTACCTTGCCTGGCAAGCTATCTTTTTGTAAACCTGTGCATAAGTTAACATCTTTGGTTTGGTTCTCTACAAAATTATTTGACAATTTTTGGATGATGATAGAAACTTTCCAATTTCTGTAAGCCTGTTGTTTTATTGTAGGTATGGAGTAACAGACCCCAGTATATCCACAGTTCTAATCAATACTGCTATGAATAAAGAACCCTCCTTTCAAACTCCTAGTGATTCTAAAGCTTCAGCTTAATCAACAGTCAAACTGATTTCTTTACAAACTGATTTCTTCACTGTCAAACTTATGTCTTCCATGTTAAAGATAAGTTCACATATCCAGATGTATTCCATGTCAAACTTATAACTCCATATATAGTGCAATAATATTCCAACCAAAGTGAATTCTATTCCATTTGATGTTCTTAGTAAAACTTGTGTTAATGTACAATTATCATCAAATGATAGTCCGTGCTAGGGTGATGTTCTAAGTCAAACTTATGTTCTATCAAACTGATGTTTTATCCAAAAAAAACAAAAACATTGATTGTCAACAATTGTCAAAAGTGTGTCGTGTATTAAGTACAATTATATATACTTATATAAACTTTCCTTTGTAAAACATAGTGAAATACATAGTGAAATACATAGTGAAATACATACAACCAGCAACTGAGGTTTTTAAACTTTATGTACACTGGGTCGCTGTCCCTTGATTAAGATAACATCTAACTGACTTGTTCATTCTTAATGAATCCAGAAGGGTCCACATGTTCTTTTATATTTTGTTATTCAGTATACTAAATATTTGTTATATATGGATTTTCTGTGATAGAGAAATAAGATTTGAAAATGTAAAAGTCTTGGTTGACTGCGGTCTATTTTTGAATTCTATTACTTAGCTAAACAAGATAGACCATTGCATTATGTTAGCTATATGTGGGAAATTTTGCCAGGACAGCACATGGGTCTTTGTACTAGCTAAAAAAAATCCATTGCCAAATGTCCCACCATTCCAGTCTACTGCTGTTTTACTGAAACTGCTGAGAGATTCTGATTGTTCCCAGGCCATAGGAGCAACAAAGAATGCTATGTGTTTGAGTTGCAGGCAGTGTCCTAGCCAGGATTTCATCGACAGAAGGGAAAATGGGGGCTTCCGAGCATGAGAATATATCTAAAATGATTTTGGAAGTGAAAGTAGAATAATTTATAACTTTAATTTTCATGGCCTGAGGAGCAAGCTATGACCAAAAAATTACTGCCTAAATATGCACGTTATAGGTTATTAATATTCTAGTTCAACTTTATATCAATGCAAAGTGAAATCCTGTGAAAATCTGCCTTTGTTACCATTATTGTGTTCATTTTCCATTGAATTTTAATTTTCTATTACTGCTGAATATTTTAATGATTATATTTATACATGTTTGTATATATATTTGTTTGTTTTGGTAGTTTTGTTTGTTTTTTTAATTTCGTTTGAACAGCATTCTTTAGCTCTGATCACACAATTAGAATTGGACTGAAATAGTTGGTCTCTTTTGTTTTTTTGTGCACTGAGTTGATGATTATTTTTATGTTTTCTCTGTTCTCGATCTTGGTATTGTTATATATGGTAGAGATATCAATGTGAATCTAACTACTGTAGTATGATTATTTTAAAGTTAGTCAAACTATGTTAATGATTAGTATCACTCATGTTAATTAAAGTCATGGTTGAGTATTATCTTGAGGATCTCTGTTTCAATTATTTATATATTATTTTATATCTAGAAATAAACCATGTAATGGAAATAATGACTTATTCAAATGTTATCATTAATGCTTACCTAATTCTACAGAAAAAAATGTTGATTTTCCCACTTAATATGAATTTGATTGGTTGAATGTTTTTCCAGTCATGTCATATAGTTAAGCCCCCTTAAAAGATTTCAGAACCCCCTTTCCTGATATCTTTTTCTGTAGCTAGACACGAACTGCTCTTAGGATAAACACTGAAAATTTATGACAGAAATCACTCTTAATTTCAACATGACCAGTAACATCAGCAGTTGCTGCCCACCCATGGAAATATTTGATAACAAGATTGGACAGCTTAAATCATTTAATCAAGTATTTGGTGTGCGTGATTTAGTATTCCTCCCCTTCGTCTCCTTCTTCTGCTTCTGTTGAGTCCACACCAACTTCTTCATAATCCTTCTCCAAAGCAGCCAAATCTTCTCTAGCTTCGGCAAATTCGCCTTCTTCCATACCTTCACCTACATACCAATGGACGAAAGCCCTCTTGGCGTACATAAGATCGAATTTATGATCAAGACGAGCCCAAGCCTCTGAAATGGCTGTTGTGTTGCTCAACATGCAAACAGCCCTTTGTACCTTGGCCAAATCTCCGTTAGGTACTGCCGTTGGTGGTTGGTAGTTGATTCCAACTTTGAAACCAGTTGGACACCAATCTACGAATTGGATAGTTCTCTTTGTCTTGATTGTAGCAATAGCTGTGTTGACATCCTTGGGAACAACATCACCCCGGTACAACAAACAGCAAGCCATGTATTTACCATGACGAGGATCACATTTGACCATCTGGTTGGCTGGCTCGAAACAGGCGTTCGTGATCTCAGCAACCGAGAGCTGCTCATGGTAAGCTTTCTCTGCTGAAATTACGGGAGCGTAAGTGACCAACGGAAAGTGAATTCGAGGATAAGGTACCAGGTTGGTTTGGAACTCGGTCAGATCAACATTAAGGGCACCATCAAATCTTAGAGAGGCTGTAATGGAGCTGACAACTTGACCTATCAAACGATTCAAATTGATGTAGCTCGGTCTCTCAATGTCCAGATTCCTTCGACAGATATCGTAAATAGCTTCATTGTCGACCATAAATGCACAATCGGAGTGTTCCAGTGTGGTGTGAGTTGTCAGTATGGAATTGTAAGGCTCAACCACAGCTGTGGAAACTTGGGGAGCAGGATAAATGGCGAATTCTAACTTCGATTTCTTGCCGTAATCCACACTAAGGCGCTCCATTAAGAGGGACGTGAAACCTGAACCAGTTCCTCCCCCAAAACTGTGGAAGATCAGAAAGCCCTGAAGACCTGTACATTGATCTGAAAGCTTTCGGATTTTGTCAAGGACTTGATCTACTATCTCTTTGCCTACTGTATAGTGACCTCTGGCGTAGTTATTTGCAGCGTCTTCTTTACCAGTGATGAGTTGTTCTGGATGAAAGAGTGATCTGTATCGTCCATACCTTACCTCATCTGAAAACGTAAAGAAAAGCTATTGGAGTTTTAAGTCCTACTTTTTTCTCCCAAATTGAGAAAACAAGTCACCATAACATAGGCTACAGTTTGGACATTGGGCCGTTACTGACATTCTGAAATGTCGTACTCTAGCACATGTCAGCATAGTTTATATTATCTTTTGCAACAATGATCGTTTCAATGTTTATTACTGACAATCGTAAAATCGAAGTTTGCTCAGAATCCACAATATATAGCTAACCTTTAACAGTCAGTTCATAATCTACAATAGCTTACACCTTACCTACACTAGTCGGCCCATAACCTACAATATACATTACCTACACCAGTCGGTTCATTATATACACTACATACCTTATCTACAACAGTCGTTCATAATCTACACTACATACCTTATCTACAACAGTCGGTTCATAATCTACACTATACCTAACCTATTACAGTCGGTTCATAATCTACACAATACCTTGCCTACAAACATTGGCTCAAAATAAATCTAGCCTACACTATAGCGTTCGACGAACTGTCGGTTCATAATCCACAATTAAACTTACCTACAACCAATGGTTCAGAATCTAACTAACAATATAGCTTACCTTCAACCGTTGGTTAAGAAACTAACCTACAATATTATAGATTACCTACAACAGTCGGTTCATAATCTTCAAAATAACTTACCTAAACTTCTATAATAAAATTATCTTACCTACAACAGTTGGCTCAGATTCTATAATATATCTTACCATCAATAGTTGGCTCAGATTCTATAATATATCTTACCTACAGCAGTTGGCTCAGATTCTATAATATAATTATCTTACCTACAACAGTTGGCTCAGATTCTATAATATATCTTACCTACAACAGTTGGCTCAGATTCTATAATATAATTATCTTACCTACAACAGTTGGCTCAGATTCTATAATATATCTTACCTACAGCAGTTGGCTCAGATTCTATAATATAATTATCTTACCTACAACAGCTGGCTCAGATTCTATAATATATCTTACCTACAACAGTTGGCTCAAGATCTACAAAGACAGCTCTAGGAACATGTTTGCCACCACTGGTTTCACTAAAGAAGGTATTGTAAGAATCGTCTGAGAATTGGGTTCCATCCTGCATCATGCCATCTACATTGATGTTATGTTCCATACAGTACAATTCCCAACAGGCATTGCCAATCTGGACCCCGGCTTGACCAACATGGACACTGATACACTCACGCTGAAAAATATTAGAGATTGTGTAATTATTGAAATTAACCCTGGCGGCGCCAGACGGGATAGAGGGGGGCCCCCTAGTAAAATGTATTAGCCTTATCGAGATTACCGAACCGTAGAATTCATTATATAAGGATAGTGCTCTGATCCACGTCGCTTTGGATGTAATGGCGGAGCCAGGTTTAAGTCCGAGGAGAGGCGAAATATCTGAGGTTGGTCGATTTTCTTAACTAGTTATGAGAGTTTTGGCCTTTTCTTTTGTGTCAAAAATTCGGTGCTGCGGGTGGGGAGGGGTTGGGGCTACTGGTCGACGGAAAGCTAACCAACTACAAGTAAATTTTAAACAGTTTACTGTGGATCGTCCGTTTAAGTCGTCGGTGCTATCAGATCCTGTTGCAAGCTCGATCTGAATCCAACTCCCTACACTTCCCATTGTGCTTAAACAAAGGTGAAAATGCCCTTGAAAACAAGATGGAAGATCTTATCTCATTGCGTCTTACAATGAAATGAATCACTGGCTTGTTATCAAAATTAGTTTTCATTCTTAGGTATTCCTAGAAAATAGAGAACTTGAGTCAATTCTTACCATATTTCTGCCTTATTTTCTCAAATTAAACGGAATATAATCCTCAAAACAGACAAGAAAATCTCTCTTCAGTTGATAATGCGCTGTTGAGAGAACAAGTGAGCTGATATACGAAATCAGGTTATTTTAGTGCCAGTTTGCTATGCCTATTTTTATCTCTTATTAGTCCGAAATGGGTGGTTGTGAAACCAATAATAATAATATCACTGTGGGGTTAATCGTTTGATTATGATAGGCTCTATAGTTATCTTCAAAAAGCATAATATGATGGATTGTAGTTGAACCGTTTTAATTCGAATGTGGAGACATACTTTTGATTTGTCATACATTTAGCGCACTTTCGATCAGTTTTTGAGCTTTTTGTACAAAATTTCCAGAATCTATGTTATATGATTATTATAAATTATATATGATCAATATGACTATACTGATATTTAATGATTGTGTCACAATATGCTTCCATATTTCAAAGGTGGTTCGGAATAGTTAACATGAGTAGATTATTAATCAAAGCACCGTTACTTAAAAAATCCAGACATGTATGGACTACTTGTCAGAGATAGAGTATATATGTCTTGGTATTTACAGTTTGACCTTGTAGATGTGTACTTATCATCTATTCTGTGCTCTATACGTATCTTCCATACTAACACGCATGTAGTTTTACACATCTGTTACCATAGCAACCATTAAATAGCATACCATTTGACTCATTATTCGCTACCTACTTTTAATTTAACCATTTTTTTTATATCATTTTCATCCTGATTTACTGAAGGTTTACTGAGTTTTTTTTCATGTAGATTTAACTAAAAGTTGACAATTCCGTGACTACTTTGATTGATCGAGGATTTAGGTCTAAACCAATTAAATTCGTTGAAAGATAATTGAGCTTAATTAATTCTAGAGCAACCACATTTATTTTTATTATCATCCTAATTATCATTATGATCCAGCCAGCCATAAAACAGGGCCGTGGATATTCGCCACCCGGGTGGCGAATAATCCACGTCCATTCATTTGACTATTCGCCATCCGGGTGGCAGAAAAAATCTCTAAAAATTCATGAAATCTCAGCCTTTTTGATATAATTGTTTCTTTCAGTGACATATTAGTCGACTCTGAGTAATTTGTAATGGATTTTGTCTGGTTCAGACAAGACCGTGTTAATATAGATTGAATTTCTTGCAATGAAACGAAAGTAGTATTTCCGCCATTTTGTTTACACCAAATTAGCATACATCCCAAAAGGCCCTGTTAGTGTTGCTATGAAATTTAGCATCATACGTTTGTATAAGAAATCCGTAGAAAAAAAAATGAAATAAAATAAAGTTTTACGTCCTATTTCTGCACCTGTATGGGCTACTGAGGATGGGCAAACGCCATGCAGTGTGCAATGAGGGGAATTTTGTCAGGACAGCGACATTAGCCTACTCTTATTTTCGATTTCCAACTGTAGGGGGGTCTTTACGTAAGTAAAAAAAAGGTTGATGAAGATGTGTAAATGGTAAAAAAAAAGACAAAGCAGGCGCGTGTCCAAATTGTGTCACATTTATCCTAGACGTTTTTTCCAAGTAAGCCCCTCCGATCCCAAACATCCACAAGGGGAAATCGAGTTGAAAAATCCAAAGAATATCAATCCATGGTTGGAGCCATCGCGAATGTGTAAGTAATGTATGTGGGTGGTAAATACACTGCATTGGGGTGGGTGGAATTTGAAGTAATAAGGTTTAAGGTATAATAAGGCGTGCGATAATCCACAATACTGACGAGTGGTAAGTAATGTGTACGGGTGGTAATAAGGCGTACGATAATACACAATACTGACGGGTGGTAAGTAATTTGTAAAGGTGGTAATAAGGCGTACGGTAATACACAATACTGACGGGTGGTAAGTAATGTGTAAGGGTGGTAATAAGGCGTACGATAATAAACCATACTGACAGGTGGTAAGTAATGTGTAAGGGTGGTAATAAGGCGTACGATAATAAACCATACTGACGGGTGGTAAGTAATGTGTAAGGGTGGTAATAAGGCGTACGATAATAAACCATAATGACGGGTGGTAAGTAATGTATACGGGTGGTAATAAGGCGTACGGTAATACACAATACTAACGGGTGGTAAGTAATGTGTAAGGGTGGTAAACAAGAATTGGAGATGGTAAACAAGAGCTAAAGGAAGTAAGTTCTTGTTAACCACCAACAATTCCTGTTTACCACCCCCAGCTCTTGTTTACCATCCAAAATACTTGTTTACCACCCACAATACGTGTTAACTCACAGTTCTTGTTCCTGTTAACAACCCACAATTCTTATTTACCACCCTAAACTCTTGTCCACCATAAGCTCTTGTTCACTACCCTCGGTTCTTGTTTAACATACCCAGCTCCTGTTCACCACCCTGGGTTCTTAGTTACCACACTCAGCTCTTGTTCACCACCCTACCTGTTGTTCACCGCCATCATTTCTTGTATACCACCTTTAGTTCGTGTTTACCACCCCACCTCTTTGTTACCACCCTAGTTGTTTTTTTTCATTAACCTAGCTGTTGTTTACCACCCTCAATACTTGTTTACCACTCTCAGCTCTTGTTTCATTAACCTAGCTGTTGTTTACCACCCTCAATACTTGTTTACCACTCATAATTCTTGTTTACCACACTCAGCTCTTGTTCCATTAACATAGCTGTTGTTCACCACCCCCAGGTCTTGTTTGCCACCCACAATACTTGTGCAACACCCACAACTCTTGTTTGCCACCCTAAGCTCTAGTTCACCTACTTAGTTGTAGTTCACCATCCCCAGCTCTTGTTTACCACCCTCAGCTATTGTTCACCACCCTGGGTTATTTTTACCACCCTAGCTGTTGTTTACCACCCGTAGGTCTAGTTTAACAGCCACAATTTTTGTTTACCAACCTACTCTTGTTTATCACCCGCAGCTCTTGTTCGCCACCCTCGGTTTTTGTTTACCACCAGCAGGTATAGTTTGCCACCCTCCGTTCCGGTTTACCACCCGCAGATCTTGTTTACCACTTCCAGCTCTTGTTCACCACCCTCAGCTCTTGTTTACCACCCCCAATACTTGTTTACCACTCACAATTCTTGTTTGTCAACCTCAACTTTTGTTAACCACCTTAAGCTCTTCTTCACCAGCCGAAGCTCTTGTTGTTGTTAACCACTCTCGGATCTTATTAACCTCTCTCAGCTCTTGTTTACCACCCTCGGTCTTTCTTTACCACCCTCCGTTCCTGTTCACCACCCGCAGTTCTTGTTTACCACTTCCAGCTCTTGTTCACCACCCTCACATCTTGTTTACCACCCCCAATACTTGTTTACCCCTGACGATTCTTGTGTATCACCGACATTTCTTGTTAACCACCCTAAAGTCTTTCTTACCACCCTAACCTTTGCTCCAGCTTTCTTTAACTAATAGGGAATGTCGGGAATTCGTGTTTTTGGGAATCCGATTCTAAAAATCTTCAAATGGTGGGATCTCCCACACACTATATAAAAAATCCTTAAATCCGCCGGAAAATGTCAAGAAAAAACGCTTCCGGGCCTAAAAAAAAAAAAAAAATGCAGAGCCACGCGAGGTTTGTAGGTGACTTAAATATCGCGACTAAATTTCATAGAAGTGATTCAAAAAAGTGGTGGCCAAATTGACTTAACACCGGTTGACTATAAATAGCCATCCAATGGTACATCGATTATCAATTATAAGTACCGGTAGGTGTTATTTTCGTACATTTTCTTGAAAGGAATTGCAAATAAGCGTTTCTAATGAACATAAAAAAAAACATTATAATGCATGTAACGCTATAGCCTTAACAGCTAATAATGTCAGTCTTCAGAGAAATTAAAGTCTTAAAAACGGGTGGCAAAAAAAAAATGAGGGTGGCGAATAATTGTTTGCCACCCGGGTGGCGAATATCCTCGGCCCTAAAACAGCTGAGAACGGCTGTCACCTAGTCAAAAACTCTTAATGAATTTCCAAAATTGTCTTGTCATGTCAATGTTGACCATAACTGTTGGGTAATTCATGTTCTGTGAGTTCTGTAGTTGGTATCTTCTTTTGATTAAGGGTGGAAGGGTGGAGCATAATATTGTGCGCTGTAAGGAAAGGTCAAGAGTTCATTGAAGTATGTCACGTGATTTCGAAATGTCAACATGGCGCTGTGTAGATGGCTGTGTCGAAGAAAACGGAGCATTTTGCTTGTATTTATAGTTTCCTCTGCTTGGTTTGTATACATATCATATCTAGACGAACAGGATTTAGGTAGGTCTTTCATTATTGATATAAATTAGAACTTATGCATCATTATTTTATAATACATATAATACAGATATGTACAGTCAAGTAACCTAATTTCGTGGAAACCTAATATTCGTGGATTTCCGGAAAGGATTAATAATTTACATGAGCGACCTTGCGCGACCTCCGCATTAGTTTGTTTTAATAAACATGGGTTTTCTCTACAATATCAGCTAGTAAAATGAATCCAGTAGTTTCAAGCAAGGTAAAATGTATTAATGTATACTTTGACAAATACAAAATGGCGGATTTCACTTATTACCAAACATCACCATTTTTTATCGGNCGAATTTCCTTATAATCCCAAGCGGTAATCGGAATTCAAGTGTC